CACACACACACACACACACACACACACACACACACACGCACACACACACACACACCAGCAATCAGAAAAAATTGAAAAAAAAAAAAGTTTCCTTTTTTTATTGTGTTTCTTTCTAGGCTACCAGCCGGGCCGCCCGGGTCCCGGGTGGCCAGCCCGTGCAAGGACCAGGGAAGGTCCCAGCAATAAATAAATAAATAAATAAAAATCCAAAAAATCCGAAAAAAGAACTATGTTATGCAAAAAAAATAAACGGAACAACTTTTGCCTCAGGGTCTTATGGAAATTCTTCGCCAAATTTAGAATAAAAATTAAAATTTACAAATATTTTTTTTATTTTATGTATTTTTTTATATTTTTTGGCCCGGCCGGGCAAGTGACCCCGGGCCACTCTGGTAGCCTAGGTTTCTATTGATTTTAAAACTTGTTTTTTTCGTTTTCTATTTTTGAAAAATCACAAAAAGCATCAAAATCCAAAAAAAAAACAAAAAATGAGGATGTAGGGAATTTATAACCCTACAACCCCATATTTTTGTTTTTGTTTTTGGCCAAGTATTTTATTTTTTTTAAATCACGGGTTTTTTTGGCTGCAGTTGGGCCCCGCGGTTGCCCCCCGCGGGCATGACCATGACCGCGACCGGATGCGGTAAAATGGCCCGCGGTCATGACCATGGGTGATACATACTCGTGCCCGTACAGTGTACGGAAACGACTTTACTAGGAAGTCCTGGCAGTGGTTGTTGAACACCATGATTGCGTTGGCATCTCCATCCCGTATTTTCCTGAAACTGCCTGGTCACCCCCCACTCACTGCTCAGTGATAGATGAACTGTCACTTTGAAAAGCAAGATGAAACAAACAGACAAGAGCCTGTACCATGTAAGGAATTCAGACACGACGAAATGACAGGGATGTAGACGAATGAGAACCCCCGAGCGCCATCTTAATGGCTCGTAAGATATTCAATGGAGAACAAATACGAAAAACGCGCGAAGCGCCATAAACAGTAAGCACAGGCTGGCAACTACCCTACACGTGTTTCAACAGACCGCCGGTGTTGGCCATCATCAGGGGTGATAGAAAGCGCACAGTGAGAAAGCGCCTGCTGAGGCTGCTGTGTAGCGAACAATGTCATGTATTTACAGAATATTGGCCCTTGCTACAGGCTTGATGTTCGGGGTCTAGGAGGAAGTTGGATGTACTATGCATGACATTGCACATAGTACACATGATCCCGAGCTATGGCCGGCACTTTTCCCTTTACGCATAGCTACGGACCTGCACACCCATCCATCCACCCACAGACACATGCATACACAATATTCCACATGTAAGTGCACATACTGTGACATACATACACACAAACAGCTCACACCATCACACCCATCCATTCATCCACAGACACATGCACACACATGGAAGCGCACATACAGACACACAAACAGCTCACGCAGACGGGCTTGACTTTTTTTGTTTTTTTTTTACAAACAACACAGCCCCCTTTTTATTCTGGGAGGGTGCCAGTCCGGTTACTTATCCTTGGCAAGCATAAAGAAAAGGAGTTGGTAGTACTACTTGGTACAAGGAAAAATGGCCATCGGGAACGACGGGAAGCACACTTGCGGGTTCAGCTTGGGGGTGGGATTCTGGAGACTACCTAAACGGTCCTAAAGTACCCAGTCCTGCCTGGCTAATTATGTTGCCCACTTGAAACTAGTCCTCTAAACTGCTAGTCCTTGGAAAAACTTCAAAAAAGACGAACAAGGCAGTAGTAACCAGTACCTAAAAATCTGTCTTTCTTCTTTGTTCTTGTACATCTTTTTTTTGAGGCGTTTTTTCTAAGTGCTTTCTATGTGACCAAGCGAGCACCTTTCAGCAGTGCTAAACAGTCGTTGGCAGGGGGGTTGAAGTGCCTGTAGCACTACAATTATGGGGCCCGCTCAGTTCGTGATGTCTGTCATACCTTTTTGTGGGGCTGAAAAAAAAAAGGTCCATCGCACTTGCTTCCTGGATCAGCAGGTGGTGAAGAACCAACAGTCTGCGGGATTCCGCTTGTTGTGCGCGCGTAGGTGATGATTTGGTCTGTGTTGCACGTGTGGACTGGCTTGTCTGCGCTCTTCCGCTGCCTTGCTGCTTATCCCGCTTCCCATCATTTTCCTTGCAGATGATTTAGAGGAGCACTGTGGCCGTGCAGTTTGGCTGGTTTCTTAGTCCTGCCTGCCTGCCCTGCCCTGCCCTGCCTGCCCATCCGCTTGCCTTGCGTGTCATATTACCCGTCTGCCTTGCACTTTCAGCTGCTTTGTCAGCACTGTTTCGTGCTTTGTTGCGCCATTGCTTTCAAATTGCTGCTTGTGCTGCAGTCTGTCCGCTTTCACGCTTCAACATAGTTAGAAGGGTTCATGAATGACATGAACCAAAGCTGCATCAATATGGGGAGTCGGCAGATTGTCAACGGCTCAGCCCCCTGATGAGTTGGTGCAAGTCCGATGCAACAAAATCTATGATCAGTGTTGATTACTTTTCACAAGTTTTCAGTGTTTTCAGATTTTTCGGTTTTTGTACATATTAATACAGTACATCATACTACGTTGTACTTTTCGTTTCACACTTTGGTCCTGCCTCCCTGTGCCCTCCGGCCCATGCCTTCGCCTCACTGCTTTTGTCTGGCTGGCAGTGGCTGCGCTTTGCCTGCCTGTTTTTATTGCCCAATTTGTCCTTTCTGGCTCTACTTGTGGGTTGTCTGGTCATTACACTTGTCATCGTCCTAGCTACCGTAGCACGAGTGTGGAATTCGTGTTAGTTGGCGGTATATGATTGGTTATGGCTGAACGTGGTGTAACACTGGGTGGAGTGCACATTGGAGGCACTACGGAATATATTGGTTCGCAGTGCTACACACACAAATTGACACAATCCTACATCTGTATACACATACATGAGAGAGAGAGAGAGAGAGAGAGAGAGAGAGAGAGAGAGAGAGAGAGAGAGAGAGAGAGAGAGAGAGAGAGAGAGAGAGAGAGAGAGNGAGAGAGAGAGAGAGAGAGAGAGAGAGAGAGAGAGAGAGAGAGAGAGAGAGAGAGAGAGAGAGAGTGTTGGTTGATTGCCCCCCCTTCCGAAAAAGAAATCCTTGATGGGATCATGGGGGTGCAATACCCCGCTCAATATGCCCTGAGGTGGCCTCAGGGCCACACACAGGCTGCGACCCCTGTCTGAGGCCGGAGAGGCCAAGGGGGAGGAAAACCCCCAAGTAGGCTCAGGGCCTGTGCGCCCGACAGTTGACCACGGTCAACTGCCCAGTGGCCCAAGACTCCAAGAGTCGAGGTCTGCATGCACCCAGCCCAGGCCGCGGGTCAGAAACACACACTTGTTTGTATGCAGGTACCAAGACAGCATCAGGACCAAGTGGAAGTCTGCAACTGTACGCAATCCAGGCCCTCGGCTGTGAGTCAATCTGAGCCACCGTGGGTTGGACTCGTGGGAGACCTGAGGCCGGTCAGCCTCGTCAAACATTATGTAAGGCCTGGCCTCCAGGGCATCAACATTCAGAATTGCTACGCTGACTTGATGCTGGCTGTATGCTGGCACTGTGGACGACGTTGCGAGACTGCTGCTGAACTCTGGCACCTAAGCTTCTGCATTGGCCCCAGCCTGTGCTGACATGGCGCAGGGCCACGCTGTCTTCAACATTGTTGAATGTTGATGTGGTGCATGCCACTCTGTCTTCATTGCTGACGTGGCATTTGCCACATTGTCTACATTCAATTTGCTGAGTTGGACGTGGCAAGGAGGGAGATTGGGATCTGTTAACTGCCATTTCGTCAAAATGGACATCTTTTATTTTTTGAACGAAATTGAAACTGAGTTTTTTGGCCGAAAACTCGTCAAAATTTGCTGCTCCTGAGGGTCCGGCGTTCTTAAAACGCTGGACCTCCTGGCTGTACATGGACCTAGCTTGAGACCAGGCACCTCAAGGCAGTCCTGCCTGGAGGTGCCTGGTCTCAAGCTAGGTCCATGTACAGCCAGGGGGTCCAGCGTTTTACAAACGCTGGACCCTCAGGAACGTCAAATTTTGACGAGTTTTCGGCCAAAAAACTCAGTTTCAATTTCGTTCAAAAAATAAAAAATGTCCATTTTGACGAAATGGTCGTTTGTTGAAGATTGAGAGGGATCCGGATACTTACCTGAGGCGGTTGATGTCGATACTGTGCGCTCCTGATTGTCTCCAACGTCTTCACCAGAGAACTGTGCCACGTGGCACTTCAATGTGATCGGGATTTGTCAGGCTCATTACTGGATACTGCTCTGCTGACGTGGAGGCGATGGCGAATGCCCGGAGAAGGAGTGGGAAATGTTGGGCTACTCTCTTTGTGGTCATTGATGATTACTATCTCTTCCCCCCTTCTATTCTGTCTATTCCCCCTCCACTCTCTTCGTCTACTCGAAACGAGACATTGTATCAGAGATCACATTTATGATTATTGGAGACATTGTTCACTGTGCAGAGTTGAGTTACTTGTATTTCGACATCTGGCGACTATCTTACAGACTGGGTTCATTCCAGGGGTGCCAGGGTGGGGGGAAAACAGGAAACCAACCAACCAATCAATCAAACTGGGTTCATTCCAGGGGTGCCAGGGTGGGGGGAAAACAGGAAACCAACCAACCAATCAATCAAACAATCCACCAACACCCCACAATCGGTTCAAACAGCTTCCAAGTTGCGGCTTCTCAAGGGGACACATGATATATCTTCCTTCCTGCTTTTTGTTCTTATTTTATGTATAAGTGTGCACCCCTCTATGAAGTGCCTAGAAGTAGTCAAATTCCGTTTGTTTGGAGTGTTTGCAGCCCTATTGGTGGATTCGAGATGTCTACACATTGGTGATGACAGACGTTTGTCGCACTGTCTTCCTGGCTCCGAGGGTAGTGGAAAGCAACAGTCTGCGCTGTCCGTCTTGCGGGTGTGAGTAGGTGATGTGCTGCTTTGGTTCTTGTTGTCTGTCTGGACTGCCTTGCCACGCTTGACTGTGCTGCCTGGGCCCCTCTGCTACCTTGATGCCCCATCTACTTGCCTTGTCTTTCTGCACTTCGTGCCAAGTTCGTGGTGACTTGTTGTTTGGATGCTTTTTGCTTGGCTGCTTTTCTGTCTCACTGCCTTTTGCTTGTGGCTTTTGGCCTTGATGGCAGTTGATGCCTTTTGCTTTGTGCCAGTTGTGGGCTTCCGCCTCACTGCCTTGTCTTTCCCTGCCGCTTGCCTGGTCGTGTGGCCTCCATGAGAGAGCAAGGCGTCACCGGGCCAATTGCAGAAATAGCGCGCCTGTTGAAGTTTCGCAGCAAAAATATTGGCGGGGCCCAAGTTTCGTTGCAAAAATGTATCTTTCGTTGCAGCTTTAGAGGTCCCGGTAGTTTCACAGCAAAAATATTTGCTGGCGGGGCCCCACTTTCCTTGCAAAAATAGATGTTTCAGACCCGTATAACATTTCTGCTGCCAAACTTCAAGAACGCGCTATTTTTGCAATTGCCCCATTTCTTAACGTTCTTTTAATTTATCACCCCAGCTTGCACACCATGCACTGGCATGCAGAGGTTGCTTTCAAAAAAAAGAAAAAAGAAAAAAAGGCGTTTTTTTAATGGGCATACCTGCCTGCGGCCTCTTTTTCCGAGTGTCTTCTAAGGCATACTGTTCAACGAACCATGCCGCAGTAGCGGCCAAGGTTTTATCCCCTCCCCCGCAAATACACACAGACGGTACTATGCATATAGATCATACTAAATTGAATGCTGCATGAAATTGCCACTGGGGGCCACCACGCACTGCCACATGAACTCGTCTAATTTCAATGACCAATGTCAAAAAAAAGACCCCAAAAAAACAGAAAAAAAATGGTTTTCGTTCGATAGAATCTGATAGACTTACGCCTTCCCCCACTGAAGAAGTTAACCACCTCCTCTTCCTCCGGAGTCCTGTAACCCAGCAGGTTCGAACCCCTTCGTCGGATCTCCCTGAAAGCGCTGTTGTACCTCTTGCTGGGAATCTCTGGTGGTCCCGGGACTACTTGTTTGTATTTGAAGTAATAGTTTGGTGTGTACGCCACCAGCGGCCTTGCACAGGTCCAGCTTTTCCAATTGTTAGCGACTTGGCCAGGAAGCATTTCATACATTCCAGTCTTGCCCGCGTATGGTTCGAGCTCAAGCGACCAGTAGACTTGACTCTTATCTTCAGCCCTGCAAACAGAAGGCAGACGAGAGAAAAGGAGGCCTGACTCAGAGGAGGAAAGTTGAAGTTGTTGAACCCATGAAGGAGGGAGGGAGGGACTGCCTGTGGGCGCCGGTCGGTGAGACTCTGAGGAGGTAGGTGGGACGGCGGGCACAGTAATCAAAAGATTGCAAACAAAGTGTCCTGCTCTCAGATTCTGATAAACTGTCCTCAAAGACCGGGAGTCTGTATTAGTAGAGAGTATGTGGTACTGGACGTTAAGATTGAAAAAAAAATGAGGAGTAAATTAAAGATAGAATAATAAGCAAGCTTAGCAAGGGAACTGATCGGCAGACTACTAGATTAGATCACAGAGGATGCATGTTGTGTCCCCTCGCCCTCATCGTCGGCATCCTCTTAGCTGTGAGAGGTAGCTATGCGTGCAGACCTTTTTTTTTTTTTTTTTTTTTTTTTTTTTTTGGGTTCAATGTGTGCACTGTGCAGACCTCAGTTCGAGTCGAGATGGGTTTCGACTGCGAACAGACAGTATTAAACTCTAAACGAATTGGGGCTGATATGTTCGATGACGACAGTGAAGCTCAGAAGAGCAGTAGCTGCATTACTAATTGTCAGATCCCACTACCCTGGATTATTCATTTTTGACCCTCGATTACGAAGATCAACGGTCAGAAATGAACAATAGGGGCTAGTGGGATCTGGCCCTAAGTGAAGGAAGTGAAGGATGGGTGGGAAGGTAAAAGGGATTCGTTTAAAATGAAGTCATGATTGTAATTAATAATTATAGTGATCAATTCACTAGATGAAGCGGAGTACATAGTGGCAACCTACGTGACACCAGCGGCCTAGGCCGCGGGCAAGCGGGCCTCTTCCTTGGCCGGGCGGCCAACGAGGCCTACCTTGCGGGCCGTTTTTTTGGATATTTGTTGTTTGGTCAAAAACTAAGTGAAAAAAGAAATAAAAAATATGGGGTTGTAGGGTTTGCAAAATCCTGCAACCTTTTTTTTTTTTTTTTTTTTTTTTT